TATTATTATTATTATTATTATCATTATTATTATTATTTGTTATTATTATTATTATCATTATTATTATTATTATAATTATCATTATTATTATTATTATTACCGCTGTTGTTGTTGATATTATTATTATCAATATTGTTATTATTATTATTATTATCATCATTATTACTATTATTGCTATTACTACTACAACTATTATTATTAATTATTATTATTATTACCATTATCCTTATTATTATCATCATTATCATTATTATGGTTATTATCATTATTATTATTATTGTTATTATTGTTATTACTATTATTATCCTTATTATCATTATTATTGTTATTATCATTATCAATATTATTATTATTATTATTATCATCACCATCACTTATTACTGTCATTATTATTATCATATTTTTTATTATCATTACTATTACTATAATTACAATTATTATTATAATTATCATCCTTATCAATATTATCATTATCATTATTATCATTATCAGTATTGTTGTTTTTGTATTTATTTTCATATTATCATGATTATTATTACTATCATTATTATGAATATCATTGCCATTAATATCATTATTATGTGTATCATGATTTTCATTATCATCATTATTATGTGTATCATGATTTTCATTATCATCATCATTACTGTTATTATCATTATTATCAATATTTTCATTATCATTATCGTCATCATTATCATTATCATTATTATCATTATTTTCATTATCATTATCGTAATCATTACCGTTATCATTATTTTCATTATCATTTTCGTCATCATTATTATTATCATTATTTTCATTATCATTACTGATGTTATTATTTTTAATATCATAATTATCATAAGCATCTTCACATTACTGTAATTATCATTACTATTATTATTATCATCATAATTGCCATAACTATCATTATTGATATTATCATCATTATTGATATTATTATCATTGTTATTAGTAGTAAAAGTATTAGTATCATTATCCATATTACCATACTTATCATTATCATGTATGTCTTATTATCACTATCACTATCATTCCTATTAATATCATATTTGTTTTTATCATCAGTAGGATCATTATCATTATCATATTATTATTGCTATAATTATTGCTATTATTATTATCATTAACATTATTCTTATTAATATTATCATTATTATTACCATTGTTATTATCATCAATATTTGATTTAATTGTTATTATTATCATTATTATTATCATCATTGCTATCATTGTTATCATTATCATTATTATTATTATTATGTGTGTGTGTGTGTGTGTGTGTGTCTGTGTGTGTGTGTGTGTGCATATATATATAATGAGGGAAAGAGAGAGTGAGAGAAAGAGAGAAAGGCATGTATGTCTATATATGTATGCGTGTGTGAATATATGAATACATGCATATTCTATACATGTACGAGAATAAGTGCACACACAAAATGCACATACACACATATAGATAGAGTGTCGACTCACTGTGAATAATTTTATGCTGCATTCTTCTGGCATTTAGCATTTCATTACAATCGGCGCTTATCACCGTCCTTGGCACCACGTGATCTATCGTAGCATATCCAGTAACCCGTTTCGGTGCATCCCGGTTCTGGCTACCCTGTTTTGTTCTATACCGGTGAGAGGGTCCTCGGCTCGGCCTATCCCAGTACAGGCTGAACTACTGCGGTAAAAGTGAGGGTATGATAACCGGGTGACCCATATAAGCTATCCCATTGAGCTGTAGTAGTTTTGTTTTACTTTCATTATATTCGATATTAACAGTATCGTCGTTATTAACATTCTTATCGTCGTTAATTTGGCACAGTTTAACGCGGGATGATGAACTCCAGTTTTCTAAGTCCTCCATTCAAGTTCACGGGTTTGACGTCACGGAAGATGACGTCATTGGCTATGGTAGTTCTAGTTCCGTTTTCTTTAAGATCTTATCTTGGATAAAAAAAAAAAGTTCTTTGTTGTATTGAGGGTTTATACCTGTAGTTAATGATAATATATCTTAGCAAATATAGACTGGTGAAAATAATATTAAAATGTGAAGATAGAGAAGGTGTTATGCAGTAAAGGGGAGCTATTTCTTTGCTGTATCATTTAACCAAATTATTAGATGAACATACAGAGAAGGGCCTACGAGTCTAATGAATATCACAGGTTTAACTTTTATAGCAGTGTGCCGTTTTATAGTTCAGTTACACTACTTAATAATATGGGATAAAAAAAAATACAAACACTGTAGACTGATATCTGAAGGACACTTCTTTGTGACAATCACATCCGGCTGGCCTGGAAAGAGTCAATGCCCCACAAATCCGTTGTCATATAGACTTCTTCTTAAAGTGTTTTGTTACTTCCTGATAGCCACACGCTATATTATATATTGTATTATGCTCTTGTTTATTCTTATAGAAATGAATAAATAGATAAATTAATAAAAACTTACTTTACCCTGTATTATAGTGAAATACTGAAAAATAGATGAAAAATTACGCCCGTTCTCCCTAAGCTCTGACGTCACCAGAGTTACTTTTACTTTCGGCGGGAAGTCCGCGAAGCCGCACCTTCTGACCAGGGTTCTTGGGTGATATGATCGTGGCTGAAATTCAAAACTTATTTTCCTTAGGAACGAGCTAATCTGTCATGTATTACCAGAGGGGGAAAAGGGGGGAGAAAAAAAAACACGAAAAGGGAGAAAAAGGAATTGTTTGGAAATAAGTTGGAAGGGATCAAGAAGAAAGCGCGAGGAGGAGAGGAAGGCGGAGGGAGAAGAAAAAGAGAAAGAAGAAAAGATGTGGAGGGAGGATGAAGGAAAAGAAAAGGAAAACGGAAGAGGGAGGTGGAGGAGTCAGGTAAAAAAAAGAGAGAGGAGGGGGGAAACGGGGGAGAAAGGAACAGACTGAAAGAATAGAGAGATGTGAAGGAAAAGGGATGGAGAGATGGCAAGAGAAAGATAAGAACAAGATAGAAAATGAATAAGAGGAAGAGAAAATGAAAGCGCATAGTGTACAGCGTTTTGGAAAATGAGACACACCGAAAATAGATGCTGAATTGCATAACTAAGAGACGTACGGTTATTTACTGGCAATGTCCTGTCCCAGTTTCTCCTGGCAACCGCATTCTCTGCCGCTCCGTAGGAACCAAGGACGTTTTACTTCATTTATTTCTTTCACGTTGCTAGTGTCTGTTTATTATCATAGAACGATATCTGTTTTCTTATCAATAACAAATGTTTATAAAACGCCTCCAGAGTCTGAAATAAACATAGGATTAAGATATTTGACGCTGGTTCCCCTCCCTCACCTTGACATGGCGGAACTGAGGAAATACCTAAGGTCGCTTTTGCTTTCACGTAGAAAACTGAAAAAGGTTGTAGATGATGAAGAGTAAGAACATGTCTGTGTGTTTTTTGTTTTTTTATATCTACATGGATGCTTTATTACTAATATATTTCGTCTTTCATATCATCGCATAGTTCTTCATTAACTTGCAATAGAAACTATGGATTTTATTCATAAAATTCGTACCAATTCCTTATTATTGGTAAGGAAAAAAATCAGATGATATATCATGTTTTTTGTCTTTGCTAATAGATATTCTAATATTGTTGTTAGCAAAAAGACTTCGGCGTGTGTGTGTCTGTGTGTGTGTGTGTGTGTGTGTGTGTGCATATATATATATATATATATATATATATATATATATATATATATATATATATATATATATATATATATATATATATGTATATATATACATATATATATATATATATATATATATATATATATATATATATATATATATATATGTGTGTGTGTGTGTGTGTGTGTGTGTGTGTGTGTGTGTGTGTGTCTATATATATATATATAAAGAGAAAGAGAGAGAGAGAGAGATGTGTGTATATATATATGTATGTGTGTGTGTGTGTGTGTGTGTGTGAGTGTATGTATGTGTGTGTGTGTGTTTATACATATACATGCAAAATATGTTTAAAGATATGCATGTGTATATGCATGTCTATATGTACATATACAACATACATACACACACACACACACACACACACACACATATATATATATATATATAGAGAGAGAGAGATATAGATAGATAGATAGATAGATAGATAGATAGATAGCATATTGGTAAGGGCTTTTGCATTATCAGTGGTGCTCGTGACGGCAGTGGCTCGTTAAGCAGGTGTGGTATCTCCAAGAGTTAATATATTTGGCAATTCATATATAAGTAACAATCTTGACAATATTTATAAGTAATATACTTGGCAATATATACTTGACAATATATATAAATAAGTGATATACTTGTGTGTGTGTGTGTGTGTATGTATGTATGTATATATATACAAACATACACACACATATACATACAAATATATATATATATATATATATATATATATATATATATATATATATATACATATATATATGTATGTATATATATGAATATATATATATGTATATATATATGAATATATATATATATATATATATATATATATATATATATATATATATATATATATATACATACATATCGTATGATAATTAGTCAATTATTTCATAGATATGTAAGTAAATATTATACGAATTCATTAAAATTATTCTAATTTATACATATGTATATATGAATGGATAATGTGTTAAATAAGTAAGCTAAATTTAAAAGTGACACGGCAAAATGTAGAAAACCGTATCAGCCACTTACATTTGCCTGGATCTTCAAATGTCTGAAAGGTCAAAACAAGCAAGAATGATGGTCGTGATGTTTATGCAACCAAACAGTAAAACTAGTAAAGCACGTTCGAAATTACGTGTTTGGACAAAGTCTTCACCTCGAGCCTCCTCTATAGCATGTTCTTCGACCTTCAGGAAATATTTAGTCCAGAGACCCGGATGAGGTTTTCCCGCCAAAATCCTTTCATTATGTGGTGGGTATATAAGGCGGGCTCAGGCCGAGTCAGGCATCAGTTACCTTCAGCGAACCGATAGACTCATACCTATTTCTCTGCCGTTCCTTCTCGTTCTATTTAAGTTAAAGGTAAGTGAGACGCTTCTTTGAGAAATTATTTTCACTCACAGGATACCAGATCATATAATGTAATATATGGATGAATAATTCGTCCTTTCTCTTTCTCCCATCATGTACGTGATTGTATAGTCATTATCATTACTCTTTTCTTATCAACAGAATTATCAATCTCAATTAACTATATACATAACTGATGTCAGAATTAAACTAAAAACACATTCGCCGACATTACTTCATCGCTATCAGTCCAAATTTCACAATTACACGATCTCGTTCCAGCGCCGCCATGCCCGCCGCCGCCGCCGCCGCCCCCCTCGGGACGCTCATGTACCAAGTGGACGAGACTCTCAGAACCTTCGGCTTCGACATCAAGAGCCTCGTCAAGTCCCTCGACCTCCAGACCTTCGGGCTCGTGACGCTCCTCGTGGTCGGGGCGGTGTTCCTCTTCGACTTCCTGAGCTACGGCTACGCCTCCTACACCGGGGACGCCTCCGGGCACACGTCCTACGGCAGGAGCCTGGTCACGACGGCGGCCAAGGTGTGGGACCAGCGCGATCAGCTGGGCCTCAACCCCTACGTCCGCGGCGGGTGAGTC